GTAGGGAGCCAAAACGTAAAATTCAATCTCTCCTAAAAATATACCCCTTTCAATTCAAGTCTGTACCTTATTTTAAACTCTGTTATTGAGTACGCAGCCAAAAGAAAAAACTCCTGACATCTCCCAATTCACGAAACGTGTTAGGTCTACTGGTAGACAAAAATTTATTCGAAGAAATGAAAAATTAGGTGAGATATTTGAAAAAATCTTCACGGTCTTCAAAATATTTCGGGAGAACGTATGAGATGCAGTGGTGAAAATTAATTGTCAACCAAATATTTCAGTTTGTTTCAACTCAAAATACAGATGAAGTATGTATATTATCAAACATAAAAGTCCCAGACATTTTAATTTGTTTGCAATTATGGTCAAAAAACTATTTTAGGGCGGTTTGGAGAACATTTTGAGAAATAAACAGCTCATAATGTATAATTTAATATCCTAAGATGAAATAGTTATGTCGTGTAGACTTTTTTCATTAGTGAGCAGGCGGGAAATTTGTTAGTGGCCGGTAGTTTTTCTTGAAGACTATTTTATTCATTATTTGTATAGTTTTTTCGTTCTCTGTGAATTTTCCGTTTTTTACATACCAAAGTATAAGTATAAATCTAAAAAGAATACTTCCTGAAAAGAAAATACACAGGTGGAAATAAAAATAAACTTATAAAATATTATTTTTTTTTCCTGAACAGGTTGAATAAATTTGTAAATTCTCAAAAACATCACCCACTTGTAAAAATCCATGCAGCAGGAGTAATGAATATCAACTTTTATCAGAACATGTAGTTTGGAAGGAGTTATTTATGAGTGTTTTGTGTTATGAATGAATCATAATTACACTATTTTGTATCTTAATGAATCGTCCTGGAAATGATTAGGTAACTGAGAACATCAAAATATCAATTGATTTGCATTGGCTATAAATTTCTAATTTCATTTTAATGTATCCAAAGCAAGTTGACTATTGTCAAAAAGTTTTAAGGATACTAGCTGCAGGTTTTACTTTGATATCAAACTCTGAAGGATAACAAAAAACTGACCAGCTTTTTTCAACGAAAGTTGTTCGGACTTTCATTGTCTAAAAAGGTGTTGACAGAATTGAAATCTATGGAAAGGGATAAATATGTAAAATAAAGAATAAAGGTAATATCAAAAATATTAAAAATACCAGAATCAAAATATTGATATTATTTGCTTTCCTTGACTGAAAACTCATCTGGATATTTCAATCCTGGTAGTTTTAGTATTTATATTATTTTGCTTGATTCATTATTTTTTCTGCTCGCACCTTCTCAGTTAATCACTATATTATTGAACTCACGACCCACCATTCCTTGAAAAAGGAGAAACCCAATACGTTTTTCTTTGATAATAAAATTCCCTCTATTTTCTTATTCATTTCTGGTAATCATTGTAGGCAACCAACACAACACGGTTGTGTAATGTATGTGGCTTCTCAAATACTATGTCTTTATAACCTGCCAAGATTATGCAACCCAGCAAGCTATATTCTCACAAGATAATAATAGATTTCGTTGAATGTATTTATTTCAGTTTGAAGCAAAAGTATGAAAAGCATTCGCAAAGTTTTTGCATAACACGAACAGATGAATGGTTATCGGATTTGTCAACGTACCTAATTGAGAAAATTATTCGGCAGTGGAAGCTTAAAACTTCAGTTCAGTTTGAACTATCCAATTTTAATGAGAGTAGAAGGTCTCGAAGGACCAAAAACATGTAGCTTCATTAGATAAGTGGACTGTAGTATAATATAGGATTGTATGATTTGAGGAATTTCCCAATAGAATTTTAGTCTGGACACAAAAAAACGAGTGAGAGAGATTACGTGGCTGTGGTTCTCACCAGAGGGTATGTCGGCTCTAGTAGCGGCTTGTAGAGAAATTTCTGGTTCCAGGAGGATGATCGTAAGAACCCGTTGGATCACACAACACTAGCTGGCCAGCAACTTTCTTAATTAATTGAGTAGGTTGTCGAATTACCTGAGATGCTTTCTGTAGCGAGTCTATATATCGAATCTCTGTTGTTCTGCTGCTGTTTCAGCGACTGACCAAATATATTGATACGAGGAGCGCTCCATATATTTAATCAGAATAGAAACACAGCCGAACTTCGCGTTAAATACAAATTTTGTAAATTGAGTGAAAATCATCAGTAGACAAATACACAAAGAGAAAAAAAAAGAAAAATAAAAAAAATAAAATAAAAAAAATGGTGAAGACGGAACAACGATATTGGCATATTTTTGTGTCATATTTACATTCCACATAGTACCCTGCTATTATCATATCGCTAAACGTTCATATTATGCACATCATTTTGAGATAATAATGAAAGGAAATGAATGAGCCACCATTTTTACATATGAATGTTATAGTTATTTATGTATCAAGGGAATTAGGAGGGCCTTAATTACCGATGGCAAAGTTTGCGTCCCGAGGGCCTCTGGCCCGAGGGACAGCAATTGCCTGAAGTTATTAAGGCTCATTAATTCCCGTGGTACATAGATAATTTTATTTCTGACCGATTTCAATAAAATTTTGTTCATTTTTGAAACGGAAAAATGTACCAATTCATTACCTTCCCGGTATATTTAAATCAGGTACCGTTGATTATAGTAGAGTTTTCTTGTTGCTAGGTTGTTGCTATGTTACTTGTTTATAAACAGAACTTTGTTATCAAGCTGTGTTTGCGGTGAAAACGTGTTTTCTACCCCAAATATAATGGAGGATATTTTGAAAAAAGCTGAACAAGCAAGAGAATCATTAATTCCATCGAAAAGTGAAGCCGTATACCAAAAAGAATACAAGATATATCTGGACTGGCTGACACGGAAAAATGTTATGCCAAAAGATGTCACTGAAACTGTATTTCTGGCATATTTTCAAGAACTGGTAAGGAATTTTCTATGTTTTTCAGTAGATTTGGTAGTAATTGTGTTTATTCGTTTCAGTCAGAAACGTATAGTCCGAATTCTTTATGGACTAAATGGTCAATGCTAAAATCGATGGTGACTATACATGAGAAACGAGATATCACCAAGTTCAATGAACTACAGGCTTTTTTGAAACGGAAGAGTAAGTTATAAGCCGAAAAAGTCTGCTGTTTTATCTCCTAAAGATGTTATCAGATTCCTAAAGGACGCTCCTAATGATATTCATTTATTGCATAAGGTAATTTTTTCTTATTTTCCTTTTTGTGTGTATTTATTTCCTTTTTTTTGTTATAGGTTGTTTTGATTATGGGTTATTTTGAAGGATGCAGAAGTCAGGAACTTTTGAATATGAAGATATCGGATATAGAGGACCGGGATTCCGTTATGGTAGTGAACGTACCGGAAAGTAAAACTGGTGTATCGAAGAAATTTACAGTTGTGGATGAAAAAGAGTTCTCCTCTTTGCCTTTATTAAGACTTTATATGTCTTTGCGTCCTAAAGGTATTGAACGATTTTTTTTGAGCTTCCGACAAAATAAATGTACATCTCAGCCAATTGGAAAAAACATGTTTGGGAAAATCCCCAGCAAAATCGCAATGTATTTAGGATTGCCAAACTCATCTTCCTATACGGGACATTGCCTTCGTCGCACTTCTGCTACTGCTCTAGCCAATGCAGGAGCAACTATGACTAACTTAAAAAGACACGGAGGTTGGAAAAGTTCCACGGTGGCGGAGGGGTATTTGGAGGATAGCATCGAATTGAGAAATAAAACGGCGCGTATGTTGTCTACTTTGTCATCAGAAGAGGCAGGTACCTCGACTGTAGTGAACAGAAGCTCCAGCCATACAAAAGAAGAAATTGTTTCCAGTGGCGGAAGTAATTTTCAGGGAACATTTCAAAATTGTACATTTATTATTTGTAATGACGTGAATAAATAAAATATGGTTCAGTTTTCATTTCTATTTATTTTTACTTGTGAAAGGTAGAGGGAATTATAAAATCTATAACGTCCCAAGGGAGTTATGACCCTCTTTATTGATAGCGTAACTATGACGATATAAGCTTATAATATCCCGGTCAGAAATAAAATTTGTAATCAACATTTTTGTTTTTTCTTCGTCAATTGTCCGTCCCGCATTTTTGGTTTAGTTATGTGGTTGAAAAGACAGTTAATTTCTAGATAGATTATAGCATTTCATCGGTTTGTTTGATAATTTGAAAACCGTTTTTCTTTCTATTCGAGGATGTTTTAACCCAGCTCAAAGTTAAGTTGAAAACTGTCTAGGAGAGATCATCCTCCCTGTCTCTACCATTAAAGCATAATCGGATGAGGTGGTAGAATGTTAAAGAAAGAGTTTGAAGAAATTGAGTTCTAACCCTTTTTGAAATTTCAGAAAATCGTATTCCCCACAGTTCATATATATGAACCCAAGTATCCCAGTAGTTCATTCTAGTAATGGCCACTATAGGTAGTATCGCATAAATGGCTTGTTTTGCCTTATCTGCTAATTCTCAATCAAATCAATACAGTTCGATCTATTGAATAAATCCAAGTAAACTTTGCACCATCTGTAATCACTGAATATACGAAACAATTGATCACGTAATTCCTAAAGCTGCTATGAGACCTCTCAAACTTCTGCACTTTTTCGATGTGATTCGAGTTGATATGCCTTTTTACCGAGCTGGGTTCTCCTCTGCACATTACCTATGAACATATCTGTGGAATATTTTGAAACATGTCTCTAATAATATATTTATTATGTATATCCTCATGTTGAAACCATTCTGGAATCATTGAAAAATGGTTCTTATTTTTTTTTCTTTTATCATATCATCATTTTTGTTATTTATGTCATTTATTTATATATTTTAAAAATAATGTATGTATATTAGGATGTCCTAAAGAAATCAATAAATATTATTATTAATTATTGCATGGATCAAAATATTTGTGATATGTCCATTGTTCATGCACTATCCAGTTATATTTTCCCCAGTTCATTTGCTAAGATGTACCAATTTTTTGAATAAGTAACTCACCTCAGTAAAATCGTAAGATGAATATCGTGGCTCAACCTATCCAAGGCAGTGGTACCATCGACTCGCACAGCATTGATTTTCTCCCTGATAGATGAGCAATTTCCTACTGGTGAATGTCTCTCCTTCAAAATGTCAAAAATGTTAGGCTGCCTGAGAAAGGCTACGACTTTGTCACTGTAGGCCACCGGAAGATCAATGATGCTACTGGAATTTGAGGTTGTTGTCGTTGGACGGGGTGGAGGAACGGGAGCCTGTAACAAATGATATTAAAATAGTATAAAATATATGAGTTATACCGAAAGCCTAGAAAACACTAAAATATGGTCCTTTGAGCCAGATCAAAACAAGTGCAAACAAAAAACGATAGCAAAAAGGAAAAGTGCTACCAAAAAAACCTGTGATTTACCAAAGGTACCCACACAATAAGAGCATTGAAGAAGAAATGAAATGAATTAGAACATATGGCTAAAAAATAGGAAAAGATGAAAACATAATTAGAAAATATGGAACAAATGGGTAGGAAATATGGAACGAGTAGGTATTGTTAATGTAGAAACATGTTTGGAAGAAAACAAAATTAAAAATCTAAAAATAATACTCTGGGACATCTTGTATTCAGAAATGAGTGCAAAAAAGAAATTTCACCTTTGGAAAATCTAAAAATTAAAAAAGGAAGAAGAAAGTATCATGAAGCGAAAACACCAAAAATAACTTGATACTCACTTGACCATCTTCAGAAACCCTTCTCGGGCACGTTTCAAGAGGTATCCTCGGGTCCATATAAGTAGTTTTCTTGTTAGTATGATCAATGAAGAATTGCTTTACATCCGGGTTTTAGTGTTAATTGAATTATTAGTAGATTTTATGAAACAAAAATCTCATGTTAATTAGGGATATACGATGGTCATGCTGCCTAATGAGAAGCAAAGAGGTTTTTATATTTCTATAGGTATTTAAGACTTATTACGGCATACATGATAAATTATGGGGATCAGTAATTATTAGTCTTTCTAATTTAATATCAATGTTATATAATGTCATTCCTTTTGTAGCTCTTTCGATACGACTTTTCGATTTTATCAATGAAATAAAAAAGACATATACTTTATTGGCTAAAATCTGAACAATTTTTATGAGAACCTCACCTTAGCATTTCTGTCTTTCTTAGTATCCCAGCCACTAGGTAGATCTTGGGTGGTGTCGGCAAATAAATTGACTAGAGAGACTAATTCCTTATTATGCTGATATTTTTCAAACATACTTGCATCCCTACGTATTCTCACTATCATATGTTTCAGGGTGGGATTTCTGTTGTATAAAGCAAGTGCTTCCTAAAAATAAAATATGATATTTCATACCAGTCACATTGAGGTGATTCATTTTGAAAAATATTTTCTAATTGTAGTTTTGATGACTGAAATTTGATTATTACATAATAAAATTCATTCATTTATTTCATTGTCAATATATAGAGTATATATGGTGAGTTGTCAAAGAGTGAAAGGGTGGTAAAAATGTATAAAACAGTTTTATGTTTATATAGTAGGGTTAATGAAATAAGGTAAAATTAAAATCAACGTTTGCATATGTACTGTATTAGGATACACATATAACAACATATATTAACCTTTTTATAACAACATATGTTCAAAGATAAAGATATTATTGTTGAATTAATTTCCCTAATAACAAAACTTTCACTTTATTACTGAATATAGTACAACTTTATACTTGTTTGAATGATTCTGGTACTTTATCATGAAATGTAAGGGCATCGTGATGTACAGGTTTCCATAGTTGTTCCATGTTTGGGAATTTTCAGTAAGTTACCATGTCTGGTATACTGTTCTCCTTCATCAAAAGGTACTGTGTGAATTTTATTTTCTAATAAAATGTTTCGATGGCTGTCTCAAAAATTCAAATTGAAAAACAGCCTTCTTTAAACGCTTTTGGGACACAAATACTATTAGGAATTATTTGTCTTGACCCCACGTCATAATGTTGAGGTTAATATGAGAGAATCCCAAGCAAATGCTTAGCAAGTTTTCGTGAATAAAACTCAAGTCTCTCTTTGCTGTGGATCTGTTGAAATATAATATGGCAGAAATTGTGCTAAATCATGTTCAAAAACATGATTCCCAATATTTCTTCAATGGGTGGGAGGTGTTAGAATATCCCTGTTGAATAAGGTGTCACCAGTAGAGGTGAAAGTTTTTCTAAATGACGCCTTATCCAAAGGTATGCGTGCTATCATGATGTATGATTTCGACCCACATTAATGTGGGGCTTTAAAATTATGGGCCTCCTTTACCTAGCTACTCATGAAGTAAACAAAGAATCAGACACTGACACTAAAGTGGAGAAGTCGACTAACAACTCCTATTGTCGCCCCTGTAAGATTTGATCAAGAGGAAGGGCTCTTCAGTTCTCCAACTTGATTATTTCAACAAACCTAAGAGGCTAAGAGATGCAGCCAAGATGTAACCCATCACCTCCTCAAGAACAAAATATCTATGAATCTGCCTTGCACCAAATTGTTGAACAGCAGAAGCAGGTAAAGGGGTCTTGAAACTTGAACATCTGGCAACCTCAATATCTACGAATCAACTGTATGTCTTCAGTATGTCTGTATGTCTTCAACTGTATCAACTTCAGTATGCCATTATGGCTACTGTAGAGGATATTTCAGAAAATCGTCCACAGATAGGATTCCACATTTTGCTGCACATTCAGCTACAAGTTACCTGAGATGATTGGGGGAATCTCTACCAGTTGGTGGATTAGTAGGCTGCAGACCATGAGAGGACATCTCCCTGAAATGCATTACTAGAGACCTACTATCAAAGCGACACATTTGTATTACAGACTGACTGCCAATCAAGTCTTCACTAGAATGAGGAAAATGAACCGTGGTCGGTCGATCTTAGGGGGAATTATTCTTCACAAGATTCCGGCCCTGGTAGAAGATCATATACTCTATGCCTACCATGCCGCAGACTGGATCAGTATTTCAGCATTTGCCAGAGTCCTACTATTGCCAGCCATACATCAAATGAAGTAAACTGCTTCATTAGACTCAGTTGGAATAGCTGTAAGCCACAATAAACCCTCACGAGTTGGAGTGGAGAGCCTAACAGACCCACTCACTGTGAATCTACCTACATGCATGGAATATTTCAATATAATATCATCTGAACACAGCTCTTACATGATTCATATGCAGGATGGTGAAAAAATCCGGCCTTGTCAGCAACCTACAACCAGGTGGCGCCGTAGGACAATCAACTACATCTACTCTATGCGAACTTATAGTTCTCCTGATGCTCTGATATCTTCTGTCGAGCTGTCTTCTGTGTTGTTCAGCCCCTGCACCACCCATGTTTGCACTCGTGTTCCCCCCTGGCCTTGTCCAGGATGTTGTTCGAGTCGCATGATCAATATAGAATACTCTGCCGTGACTGTCCATTCTTGCTTCCCAGGCTGCAAACAAACGAAAACATTAGGGTGAGTCGGTAATTGAAAATATATGTAACGGAACATATTTTAGATACATACATGGTGGTAAGGGTTCTTCTTCTGCAGCGGCTTCTGGAACGTTCACACCTCGATGGCCCCTCTCTGGGATGGACGGTAATCTTGTGGTACTCAACCTCTGGAGGGGAAGAGGTACCCCTCCACTAGCTTCGCCATTAGTTTCTGATCTCCCCCTGTGACAAGATACAAATTTTGTTACAAATTCATGGGCCCAAGTAAATAATAAATAATATAAAATCATTTTATAAAAGAACATAGACATACAGTGTGTAACGTAAGTACGTGTCCGGAAATACTTCGTTTTGTTCAGTTTTTGTAATGCTCTCAGCAACTTCACTTAGCGCCCTAAGAGCTAATAAATACGCATCGATATTGAAAATATCTCGAAAACGATCACCTCCAGCGTTGTTGAGGAAGTGTATCTTTTTTACTTGAAAAAGGTGTGCGAATCAAGTTTTTTCATAAAAAGTACCAAAAGTTTACTGTCAAAAAAATTAGGGCAATTTGAAATAAATAATGACAGTACATGCAGCGCCCTCTATATGTTACATGAAAATTTATATGAAATTATGATTTCTCACGTCAAAAAAACCACGGGTACCAAATTTCATGCAAATTACTTATTTACACTCTGTATATCTGAAACGAAGCATTTTCAGACACAGACACATAGACTTTTTTCTCAGATTTGTCTCAAGAATACGTGACTTGAATATTTGAACGTACTTGTATTGAAAGGCACTGATGTATGATTAACTTTTGAATGACAACAAAACAATCTGAAATAATTTACTGATATTTAAAAAAAATTATGTTGTGGAATTATGGATGATAAAGTTGCTACATAAGGATACTTGTTCAACAGGAAATGCTAAAAAAAGTTAACAAAGCCTTGCAAATAGCTATACAAAGATAGGAGTTCATCAAATCAACTTGTTTTAAATAAATGCATTAACATACAGAATAATGAACAGTGTGGACAAATCAGGACGATTTTTAGTTCAAGGTGGACATTTTTTTATCATAACCTCAACTGCCATACTATTCTTCCACCCATTTTAGCACCCTTTTGTGAGAAAACAACTGTTCCGAATTTCAAAGTAAGATACTTCATTTAATGTGAACAAGTCATAAGAAGGTAACAAAAATTTATAAAATGTATAAACCAAAAATGCAAAACAGTGCATTCAAACTTCACTAATTCACAGTAGATGCTGGAAATGTTCTCCAATAACTGCCATACATGAGTATAAGTTAGTCTAGAAATGTCAGGCATTTTGGAGCAATTGAGGAGTTACTTCATGATATTGCCTTTCTCGCAAGAGTCGCCAAAATGAAAAGTTACTAGGTGAATAGTTACATAGATGAATTCCTTTTAGAATTACATTTTCACCAGTGTGCCACACTTAATACTCACTTTTCCTATTGGAATTTTAAGAGTGTTAGTTACCCAGGGGGGGAAGATGGTATAACAGTTAAGATTATGATAGAAAGATGTCCTGCTTGAATCAAAAAAAGCTTTGTTTTTACATTTTTTTTCAACAAATAAGTCTTGAAGATATTCGATCTGTTTCGTTTTTGGTGCAGCACACTGTATATCACTTCTCTTTCATTTTTCATAAGTGCAAAAAAATCAAGTTTCAATACCTAATTGGACTTCAGAAACGCTTCAAATCATAACATGTTACAAAAAACTCATTCCTTATTCTTATTGAAATATTCCATAACCATAATAAGTCCATATGTGGTAAATTACTTGTGTTTGCCTCTATAAAACTTTCTTGGGCTGAACACATCTTCATTCAAAGATAGAATGCTTCACTTTATGAGTTCAGACATGGTTCAAACACTGTACCGACAATCCCACATATCTCGTTACGTCACACTTACTTTCTACAGTTTTAAACTTGCGTGTGTTGATAACGATAAATGCAAGCACGATAATGAAATGAAAAATGTAAAAAATCATATTTGACCGAACGATCCTATTACCTAGTTACATCTTTATCCACATTCGTCGGTTCCGACATAGCAATCAGTCGCACCATAAGGTTTTCAGTATCGTCCATTTGTGTGCTAGTCCCGCACCAATCACGTGTAAGCAAAGGTCTTCTGTTGGCCTTTTTAACTTCAGGGGCGGGTTGGACTTCTTGGCCTTCTAGTGGAAAATCAGGCGGTTCTGCCGATTTCAGATTGGGAGGTTTCAGTTCTGGTGTCCTTGTTTTCCTAGAATGGTGTGTTGGCGTTGGAGGACATACTGGTATGTGGACTAGACTATTTGAAGCAGCTGCCACCTATAAATTGATAAAATATGTGTGAAATAATCCTTTGTACCATATCATTGTGGGTAAATTTGCATAATTTTGCAGTGAACTTCGAAAAATCTCGTTACATACATGCATATTTTCAAATATCTTGAACTACTTGTGAAATTTGAAGCAACAAGAATCAAAATTGCTAAAACAACTCCAGGCTTTGTCTGTTACAAAAAAAGAGTTCTATACCATGGATCAAAGAAAATGTAGTGTAGAAGCTTAGATATTTTCCAATTGAACTGGACACTTTGGAAAATTTGTCATGAAATAATTTTATACTCACCCTCTGAAGCGCCTTTGGATGAGGCCTACTCATCTCTTTAGTTTCCACTCTGGGCCTATGAAGGGGAGTATGAGAAATTTCTTCAATTGTATTGGTTTCTTCTGCTTCCGGGACTACCCTCGTCAGGGGTTTGTGTGGTTTACCAGCTAAATCGCTGTTAACTTCTCCATCGACCATGTCAGCGGATCCGCTACTTTGTGTTGATATAGTCGAACTTTGACTGTCCTTATTTTCTAATAGTGAGTGAGCATTATTTTGTGGACTAGAATCTGAAATGAAGCACGAATGTAGTTAACTACAGGGAAATAATCAGGATCTGAGATTAAGGGAATGTGTAATCCTCTTTTACAAAATACATGTTTGCCCGCAATTTCAAAACAACATTACACTGAACGAAATCAATGAAATAAGAATTCAAATTAATATAGAAAATCCACTGATGAAGCACTACTTTATGCTCCACATGAGTTTTTTCCACTACCAGATCTAGAGAAATACTTAAGACACCATAATTAACCCATTGCACCATCAAAGCTGTAGAATATAAAATAATTCAAAATCTACTGAAACAATTAATATTCAGCTAAAATAATTAAAATTCTACTGGTCAGGAGATCCAGTATATCATCCTTAAACCATTACCACATACCGAAACTATGAGGTTTTCCATCGCATACGTCTGACCAATCAAAATTGCGTTGCAAGAAACTTCTTGAAAAGTTCAAGATTTACAAAAAATAAGTTTCTTTCAGGGCGATTTGAAACCACGAATTCCAATAGATCACGTATGACAGAAAAAGAGTTTCCTAGGGTTTTGATGGTAAGGGTATCTCAGAGACACCCATCAATGACTCTTCTCAAGAGCGTTTTTGGAGAATGCTAAAAAGCGGGCGTCTTACTAGTGTCACTACTACAGTGGAGACATCAGTGAGTGTGTATGAGAGATATAAGGTGATATTATGCAGAAGACAAATATCAGAAGGAAACTTTTATAAGAGAAAAAGAAGTGTGGTTGAACTAACCACATAGGAAAATACTCAACCCTCAGACCCGTTGGTTAGATTGTTGTTGGGTTTGAAATGAGCAGATCTAATCGAGCATTCACTACAATTCGTGAGAGATTTTATTGGGGCTCACACCAAATCAAATTTCAAGAAATATGTCCAGTTTCTTAATGAAGCAACTCAGTAACCTGGTCCACTGCAACTTTTGGTTGAGAATTTTCAAACAATCCAGAAAAGTATACTACTTTTTCCCAAAGAACATGACAGTAGCAGCTTAGAGAAAAATACCCGACAAATATCCATAAGGATGCTCTCATATTCTTTCCAACGAACTTACTTTTACTTAAAACCGTAGTTATATAGTTATCACAACCGATGAGCTTCTTGCCGTTCTCGATCAAGGCGGCCTTCATTTTATGACTGGGAGTCGATGCTACCTCAGCGTCGGAAAGTGACGAAGTCGTGGAAGCCGTGCTGAAGGATTTGTATTCTTCGTCGGTGTCTATGAGTTCGAAGCCGAATGTATCTTCCAACTTTTGTATATTCTTGGGCTTGTTCTGCCTGAGCACGGCAGGCGGACTGAAAGTGGTGGTGGTGATCAACGCGTGGGACCTCTCCAGAGGTCGGTGGAGGGCACGTGGGGGTAAAGGTGGGGCGATTGGCTCGGTGGTGAAGTCCATACCGCAAGCGTTTTCTGAAAATAAAGTTATGTTTGTGGTTCTTAAATCTATTTATAGCGAAGTTGAATATTATAATCGATATGGTGGCTTGTGCTTTTCGACACTTTGAAATAGTTGAGGGAATTTACTGAATCTAGAGATGAAGAAGTGAAAGTGACGATTAATAACTCGGTGTCTAGCGGAGTTTTGGCAAAGCAAATGAGTTGAATAGAACACGCTGGAGTTTCAGTTAGTCCGGCTGTACACGGACCACATATTTGCAGTTGAGGCAACCACAACATTGTGTCCACGTTGACTGCACTTCGCGGTTGACTCAACCACATTTTTGTGGTCGATTTGTGGTCATATAAACCGCACTTGCAGTTGAGGCGACTGACATCTATATTTTGTGGTGTCAGAGTTTAGTGCCAATTTCAATATGGATTTCGAAGAAGAACCACTACTGCTTCTTATTTTGAGGAGAAGGAGAAGATGTAGGAAAGTACGATAGTTTTGGGTACATCCACTTCTGGTTGCGCGACAACACGAAGGAAATTTTTATATTTTATTTGAAGGTGGTTGACAATGTTTCTAGGTGCATTTCAACAGTTTGGACTTCCATTGTCTAATATGATATAAATTGATTTGAAATCCCTGAAAGAATCTGTAAAGAAATAAAAAGATTAGCAGAAAAAACAATTTTATCAAGCAAAAAACTGATATTAAAATGAAATAACATACAAGCAACAACCGATAAATTCCGGAAAGACGAAAAAAATGTTTTTAATTACTTCAGAATGTCCATTAGTTCTTTGATGAATTAATTAGAATTTTGAAATCAAAAATTGAACGCTGTGAGACCAATATGAGAAAAAGTAAACGACGGTGTACGCGGTTGGGTACGACTGCAAGTTTGTGGTTAGTGTACGGCGGATGCCGCGATGACATCTCGGCGGAGATCAGCAGCAAGTTGACTGCAGAAGCCCATTTTGACTTTTGTGAACGCCCGTGTACGTGTAGTACAGTATTTCTTATGGGCGGCTTGAGTTCGCTGGAACGCGACTGCAACTGTGTGGTCGATCCTACCGCAAAATGTGGCTCGTGTACGGGCTCTCTTAGCCAGGGCGGTGTATTAGTAGGTGTTAGGAAAAGAATGTGGTAGGTTTATACTCAGATTGTAATCTGGTTCACTTGGAGTAAAACAGAATCTTGTTACGAACACTATGTCGAAATTATTAATGGGATCGATTAACTTCAATGAGGTTTTGCTTAATCTTATTAAACTTTACTATAGAAGTTTCAACGTATTGCGATCGGATCCTCATCGTGTTTAGAAAGTGTACACATGAGGTTGATTCTGCTTCGACATACGAGCGAAGAAGCAAAATATTACAATTTAATGGATTTGAAGTGGTAATATAGTCTAGATGGGCACATAAACTTGCTTTCACTAGCTAGAGCCTTACATTATAACCTTGTCTTCAGCGGCTGGGTCCACATATAAATTTTGATTTAGCGGTAAGGTTTCCCCTTGAAACCGAATAGAAAGATTGGACTACGGATAATTTTTCCCGCATTTTATGTTTTCAGTATCAAATAATTGGATTTCAATTCAGAAGGTTTTTTGAATGAAAATAACTGGCAATATCGGCGTCAACTAAAAGGCCATCGTCGGACAGCCAAGAACAAATCGTACTGTTTTTTCGCTTACATCTTGAGTTTCTTCATTACTTTACCATTCTTAATGTTTGACTTTCAAACAAGCTGAAGATATCAAATTCAGTCGTATTTTCCACTCCTTCTGCTACCAAGAAGAAAAATATGAATTTCCTTTGAAATCTGACCAAGACTTTCAAATAATTTGCAAGGTATTGATCGAAGTCTTGATCAAGGTCGAAGCTGAAGTCGAGTAGTAAAGAGGAAAAAGTGAATATCTTGTACTTTTTCTTACTATTTAGTATGCTCGATCATCCAATAACCTTAAGAGGTCAACTTTAGAGTAACTCATGGTCATATGGGTTCCTATTTCAAGAAAGGTCATCATCGGATATCAAGAAAAAATTCTGAGCCCTGGAACTTCATTTTTGTCTTATCGTTCCACATTTTCGAGTAATTAACCCAGTCTATAATTTTCTTACACTTTTAGTTTTATTCCTTTCTGAAAGATTACAAGCTAGACCTAGTTTCAATGCTGGCTACGTCCTAGATGCTTCAACTGAATTATTCGTCTACTGTTACACTTGAATACTTTATTTTTCAACAACACAGATGTTAAGGTGATTCAGACACAGATTTGGTGTAAATTTCTTAGCTTTTTTCACGAAACCTTCATGGAATGATATATAGATACAAAAATCAAGTCAAAATACAAAAGAGTGCTAGGATAATAGATACTCTTAGATAATAATATGGAGGCAACGGGATCGCTTCGTTTATCACTAAGAAGGAAAGCTATTACGCTCATGTAGCACTAGCTTCCATAGCCTATTTCTTTAATTTTTAATAATGATTAATCGTTTCAGTAGATTTGGGCCTTTTCTTTTCGAATGAATTTTCTTTCGAATTTCGAATAAAAAAAATGCAAACGATTGCAGTTTTTTACAGGGTATTCCAACAGAGACTTTCGAACTTTGATAACATTTGGCAACTGCCCTAATTTTCATCGAAAAATCATCATTAGGCGATGAATGGGTTAATGGGTACGTGAACAAACGAAATTGGGACGATACCAACCCACATGAGATCAAGAGCATCCAATACATTTCGAAAAAGTCACTGTTTGCCGTGGATTTTGGGCGGGCTGCGTCATCGGTCCATATTTCTTTGAGAACGACGTTGGCCAAGCAACCACTGTCAACCCGGTTACACTTTTTCTTGTGGGGTTTTCTTGAGCCCAGGATGTATGCGAATAAGCCACAAATCACAGCGGTCCTCGAGGTCAACATAACCCATTGCATCAGTCAATTTCAGCACCAGAGTCATGAAATGTTTCGGATGCGTTCTACCCAGCCGTGCCGGACATCCGTGTCTGTAGAGTAGGGAGGGTGAGTGTAGGTCCACAGCACTTAGGCTACATGTGACCCATTGTACATCCTCCCGAGAAGTTGTCCTCCTAGATCATCGTTCACCCTGTTCTTTCCAGGAAGGTGGACCGGTCACTAGGAGACATCTCCTTTATATCGGCAGGGGTAGGCCAAGACTCGCCGAACACACACTCTCTTATTGACGATAACTGTGGACACTCGCATAAGACATGCTTGACAGTTTCATCTTCCTGTTCACACATCCTGCATGAAGGTGTGTCCATTAGCCCCATAATATATAGGTATTTCCTTAGTTCCATCTCTTTAGAAATTGAGCATGGGTGTGACGATTGGCTGGTTCGGCAATTGTCCAAGTCATAAGGCCGTAGGTGTTACTGGATCCTAAAATTCTTAGTCCAGCTGCTTCCTTGGCTAAAGAGTGGGCAATGCCATTTTCTTTACTCCTATGCCTTTCACCCACCTCAAGATAATGTTATTATCTACCGAGGCTTTGGCTAAATCTTGGTGGTACTCTAGTACTAGCCCAAAGGTAACACGTTGTCTGTTCAAGGCTAATAGGGCTTATCTGCTGTCATTACAGTTTGTTTTGCCAGAAATTCCTTTCCTGGTTATTTCTTTTGTGGCGATTGAGATACTAGCCAGTTCTGTTTGAACCACGCTTGGTACTTTTCCCATTCCTCACTTATTCCTTAGGCTCAGTGATCTGGAGTAAACTCCACATCTTGAGCCTTCTTTGGTTTTTGAGCGCTTGATGAAATATCCTGTATGGTTTCATTTGAAATCACAAATGAAAGCATCAAGATAACTTTCGAAAATTACTGAATAACATAATATGAATAGAAAATACCTTCAGCTTCTGGAGAAGGCGACGTTGAAGCATTCCAAATCTGATAGTAATCCTTTCCAGGAACTTTTGTATTCGGCTTCGCCTTGATCTTCTTCTTCGTACCTCCCATAATCTCCATGCTCAACCCGTTTGGCGATTTTTTCTTGACCCCTGAGAGAATTTCGTCCTTTCCGTTCTCCAAATCCTCCAACGAGTCGGATATTTTGACCTGCTGCTGTTGGTCACACTCGTCCTGGAAGGCACAGTTTTCGATGCCATTAGATTTCTGTCTGCGGCTTTTTATGAACTTTTTCAATTTGTCTACGGGGTGTTTGATGATGAGGGGATCCGACTGAGCGAGGTAGTCTAAGGTGGTACTGTCGTAGTAGCGAAAGCATAACAGTTTTTCACAATCTGAAAAGCAAAACGAAATATTCAACAAATGGATTTAGAATAAATATTGATGAATTTATATTATATTGTTTCAAGGACCAAACACAAGCACTAAAGGAAAATCATTAAGGCACTCTGAGATCGGTGCCTGTATGAAAGTAGCTATTCACATTGGATTTGAATGGCTCAAAACTATGAGCAGCCACAATACATCGCGATTTTCTGATACGTACCGCTCTTGGTGGAATCAAATCAAGTTATTGAATGAAAGTTATTTCTTGTGGAGATATATTTTGGGTTGTTTCCCATTCCACATGAGAAAACTCATAAAAATACGATAAAAAATTCAAATTATATTCAGTCATTCTACTTGTGACAGAGAAAATAGATTTGTCAGCTTCTTTTTATTTGGATGATTAAGTTACATAAATGATTGTAGTTGAAGCTTTCAAATAAACAGGAACATCTCAATATTTTACTGAAAATGATCAGTTCAAATGTTAACAAGAATGAAACGATTTTTTTTCTAGAAGTAAAAATCCTTAGATGTTATGCATCATAAAAATATTAAATATGCTTTGAGAATCTAATTAGATTGATATCCGCATCCACACTAGTTAGGATAATAACTATTTTTCCAGTAGATTGAATAGTATTAAAAAAATAACACTCAGTTTTTTTAAAAATAACAATTTTTTATTCGTTCCGTTTTCAAACTTTTAAAGCAAGCTGTTCAAAAATGAAATTTTAGCATTTCAATAGTCTGCAAATATGCAAGAGTATGCAAGCAATAACATAGCAGAAATACTTTTAAGCCTTAATAATTTTCGAAACAATACAATAAAAAAAATCTCAATTGGCTTGTTGAAAAAAAAAATTTGTAAAACAAGATGGCCACAATTCCAAGGCGGAAATTAGGGATAGTTCCCAAATATTGTAGGGATCGATCGTGCAACAGTGACACATTAAATAAAATGAATATACTGAGGAATATATTCAGCGAAAACTGCAAAATATATTTATAATTAGCAAAAAATATTTTAAAAAAATAAACCTTCCATTCACACGCTCTAAAAAGAAGGAAATAACTTTACTAGTTCGGAGTTCCATTGTCTGATATAATTCTAATACTATTCGAAATCTATGAAAACACAAATAAAACTAGATTCAATAGCTGAAATATCAATTATACAGAGTGTTCCCTAACTACGGTACGAAACGAGGGTGATTTGTTAGGTCGTTTCAAGAAAAAAGTTCCTATGAACATATGTCCGGAGTTGCTTCGTTTCTGAGGTACAGGAGGGCGTTGAAGTTTGAAAAAAAATGTATGTCAGTTATTTCAGCGTTAGTAAAATTATTAGTTGACAACTCTGACATTCACTGATATGACAACTCTGTCACTGTCATTTGGTCTCCAAAGCATGTGTTCATGATATGCAAAGTTGCTTCAATTTTTTTTATCGTACACGAAGCTGTACTTCACAAAGGTGAAGAAAACACAAGCGACGAAAAAGTTGTATTTTTAGATGATTGATCTAAAAAATTAAGGACTATTACAGCAAGTCAGTGGCGTACTTTTTTCCCAATATTGTTTAATTGTTGGCTGTGGGGCCCACTTAGACTCCACTGGAACTAATAATTTCTATCTAGTTAGGGCTAAACAAGCGCCTTATCATTTCAAATAGCTGTAGGAAATTTCAACCAAATCGGTGTAAGGATAATTATGATATTTTATAAATACTTTTTTCATGTATCTCAGAAACGAAGCAACTGAGGACATATCTTCATTTATTCTCAAAAAGACCTAACGAATCATCCTCTGAAGTTTCGTACCGTAGTTAGGAAAAACCCTGTATGTAAGCAATAAAACGTGAAATAAAAATAAAATGAAGCAATCAAGATAAAAGATGAAAATGATCACAGAATGAAAAGAAATTAAAAAAAATTAATAAGTATAAGCAAAAACCTAAAAAAAAAATTTAAGATTTCAAACCATGTCATGATGTCATCACCCGAATACTAACAGTAAAAACGTCTTGAAGTAACTTGCCTTGAATTTTTTTTATTTTCTTTTATTTAATTTATTTTTTTTATTTCTTTTTACTACGTGGTCATTTTTATCTTTTACCTTGATTATGTTATTCATTTTATTATATTTTCATTTCACATGGTATTGCTTAATATAATTGATATTTCAGCTATTCATTCTAATTTTATTTATTTGTTCTTTCAAAGATTTTGAATCATATTAGACAATGTCCGAACTAATAAAATTCACCATGAAACATTATCAACCGCTTTCAAACAAGAAGGAAATAAGCATCAATTTATTACATTACAGAATGTATATGATATAAAAGCTTATTGCTAAATTTACGCCTGTAAATAAATGAGAATACAATATGTAATTTGATTAAAATATAAGCAATTTTTGATGTTTTTTTTGATAAAACAGTTATATCTTGTGACAAGCTTTCATTTTGCATAAATTGTGTAATGTAATAAATTAATTTTGATTTAACTTATGATATTTTACAAATACCCTTTTTAAAACTTCAATGCCCTGTATCTCAGAAACGAAGGAACTCCAAACATATGTTCATTAGACCTTTTATTCTTAAATAGACCTAACAAATCATCCTCTGAAGTTTCGTACCGTAGTTAGAAAAAACCCTGTGTGACGTGACATGAAAATAAAATAAAACGATTAAAATAAAGTAATCAAGATAAAAAATGAAAATGATCAGAGAATAGAAAGAAATAAAAAAGAATAAAAATTAAAATATGCAAAACCTAAAAAAATGAAAAAAATTAAAAGATTTCAAACCATTAAACCATGTCATGATGTCGTCACCCGAATACTCACAATCAAAATGTCTTGAAATAAATTGGTTTTAAATATTTTTATTTTCTTTTATTTAATTTATTTTTTTTATTTCTCTTTACTCTGTGGTAATTTTTATCTTTTACCTTGATTGTTATTTATTTTATTGTATTTTCATTTCACGTTGTATTGCTTAATATAATTGATATTTTAGCTATTCATTCTAATTTTATTTGTTCTTTCAAAGATTTCGAATCTTATAAGACAATAGAAGTCTGAACTGATAAAATTCACCACCGCTTTCAAACAAGAAGGGTATAAGCTTTAAATTAAAGTAAACCCATCAATTTATTACATTACACAATGTATAAAATATAACAGCTTACAATTGAATTCACCCGTGTAAATAACCAAGAATATAATATGTAATTTGATTAAAATATAAGCAATTCTTGATTATTATTTTTTCAATAAAACAGGTGTATTTCGTGATAAGCTTTTATGTTGCATAAATTGTGTAACGTATTAAATTAATGGGTTTGACTTACTTTTTAGAGCACGCGCATAAAAGTTATTTTACATACTAGTGGAATATTCAACTAGAAACAACTAGAAAAACACAGCAATTTCTCACCATTATGATGCGATTGAGGTATATCCAGAAGCCACATGGTACTCTGTTCCTGCCCCCGGACTTGTTGCCTCGCAAGGCACTCCTCCGCAGATCCGCAATCTGCAACAAAATACCGCATTAATCAAAATATCATCTGAAAAATAAATCGTTCGTCCTTCGATGAGATAGAGCAGCACATGCGTGTATCTTCATCGAAACATGTAAACACGCGCGGATTATAGTAAATCGCAAATATTTATCTGAAACTAACAAGATATTTTCCCAGATGAAAAACACATATTTTCATTCATTATAATCAAATGTTATCAGATTGTATATCGTAACAATAAAATGAAACTTGCCAGGGGAATTTTAGGGAACTCATTGTTATTATCAAAACGCCCACCAACTACGTTGTATCAATACCAGGAAACTTGATTCGAATATTATTTGGAGAGCATCACAGACTGGAAAGTTTTTGAATATTCGCAACAGGTGTTAAATTCAACGAAAAGATCGCGTTGAGTTGTTAATGAATAAACAAGCAATATTTTGTTTTGTCAAATCACCATGGACGGATATAACATTCAACAATACGTGCAAATAATAAAATTGTTTCATCAAAATGGGTGTTCTGTTTGGGCAACGTACCGCGCGCTTCGCCCATTTTACGGTCGCCATAATCGTCCTACCAATATGACTATTCGCATTATGGTGGATGATCGACCAACACCAGTACGCCGAAGAAACGCAAGATCTGCCGGAAACGTCGCCACTGTCCGTGAGAGTGTGCAGGAGAATCCAAGGCTGTCAATTTCGCGTTGCTCACAAGAACAACTGCCGCAATAGATTTTCAATTATTGGAACACACTTGCAGATCGATTTTGGGCTGTTTGGCCACTCGTCGAATATTATCCAACGCCCTGCGTGGTATTAGCCAGAGAAGTAGTTGTTTTCTGATAGGTGTCAGTCCATTAACCTACAGTGTAGGGAGTTGAGACTGGCCTGAACGAAATGTTCTTTTAGATGATTTGATTTATAGCCAGTCTTCAAGTATGCCAACTGACTATATGTGAAAAGTTTTCTTTCCTTATACGAGGAATTGGGCAAATTTCGGATATGTGATTGGTTACCTCGTTCACAGGCAGATGGGGCGATGACAAACCTGTTGTTTGTTGTCCGTTTCAGCCTAGTTCGAGGAATGATACTCTGAAGGAATTCGATTTTTCATTATCGGAAATCAATGACTTCATGTTGATGATAGACACTACCTTGCACTGACGAGTGGTCAAGCAGCCCGAAGCCGGTCTGCAACTGTGTTCCAATAATGAAAAATATATTGCGGCTGTTGTATCGTCAACAACATATGCAGGAATAACTTCAGTGAAGAATCCTGCACTGACACCTGTCGAATATAATCCAACGCCCTTCGTGGTATTAGCCAGGGGTGTAGTTGTTTTCTGATGGGTGTCAGTCCATTAATCTACAGTGTAGGAGTTGAGACTGGCCTGAACGAATTGTTCCTTTACGATGATTTGATTTATAGCCTGTCTTCAAGTATGCCCACCGACTATTTGTGAAAAAGATTATATTATATTTATTAAAATATTGGTATCAGAGGTAATATTCTTGACTGGATCATTTCGTTCCTAACAAATAGACAATTCTTCGTGAAATTATTTGGAGTTGAGTCAGATAAATATACATTAGGTATAGGAGTAGTGCAAGGTTCAATTCTGGGGCCATTGATTTTCTTACTCTTTTCCACTAAATATTCGTAGGCGCTTTTATCTCATTAATTTTGCTGAGGACACAACCATTGTTGAAGCTGAATCATCTATAGAGGATATGATTTTAGCAGTTGATCTCGGTATTAGTGAAATGACAAAATATTGTCATTCCAATAAACTGATACTGAATGCGCAGAAAACAAAAATTATATATTTCAAGAAGAACAATCAGATCAATAATAAGTCCTTCACACACATAACTACAAAGTTCCTAGGTATGTTTAACCTTAAATTCAATAGTGGCGTATGCTGATGATACTACATTTGGCATTAGTGGAAAAAACAGAGAATTCATAGATGTCGCTAATGAAAGTGTGGCCGAATTTCACCAGTACTGCGTGAGCAACGGACTTACTGTGAATCCTCATAAAAGTGTTTTTATGACTTTCTTACCGAAAAATATTCGTCACGATTATAGTAATCTGATAAGATTGAATGGACATTCCTTAACTTTTTTCTGTTTTTATTGGACTATTTTTGGGATGAACACTCAATGGATATTTTCTAGATCAATCGTTGAGTTTCACACTATCATCAAAGCCCCTTGAAAATTCCAAACCTAACCTGTATTCCGTTTATGATTCCTTGGAGCAGTTAATATCGCATAATATTTAATAGGTACACGACTGTGATAAAACATGTATGAAAATTTGAATACCTGGTTTAATTTCTTATAATAAATGTGTACCTACCTACCTGTAAGATACCTGTCAAAAACCTTCGACATACATACTTTTTGATTCTTATCGTTTAATTAATTCTGTACCTTGGAAGTAAAATAACAAATGACTTCCAAAAAAATTCAGTGGGGAAAAATAATCGACAGCGAATAATTATAATTATAAAAATTATTTTGTGTTTTAATATCTTCTTGAACTGATTCGCACTTTTTGCGAAGTTTATCGTCACTTATTATGTTTCATATCATTCATTTTTACGAGGTGTTTCAGCAACAATAATATTTAAAACAATTATATTTTTTTTTATTTATGAAAATAGAAATGGAGATGAAATGGAAGCATATAATACTTGTATGAAATGAAAAAATATAATCTATATCAAATCTTAGTGAAATTTGAAAAATATGTGTAAAATATAAAAATCTAATATCAAGATTATGTAGGTAATTTAAAAACAAATGTTGAGTGAAACATATGAAAATGTAATACTGAAATATAAAAGTTAAAGTATAATATCGAAATTTGAACTATTAGAAATATTCATGTACGGGGTATGTTAAAAAAATTCTGAAATTTTGTTTTTTGATGAAAATATTTAATTACGCTCTTGAAACGACGCGACTACCCGTTAAGCATATCTTTATTTATGATGATATGAAAAAGTTACATGGAGCCATGTCTGGCGAATATGGAGGCTAGATCATCGCTACAGTATTTTTTGGCAAAAAAATCACGAACAATCAATGAAATTGAAGCAGGTGCATTATTGTGGTGCAAAAGCCACGAATCCGTTTTTTTACATCGATTCACGCAAATTATCACCGACTTTTCTGATTGTGATTCAGCGATTATTCACTTTTACCACTTTGACATCGGTTGTTGATGTGTTTGGATATCTTGGAAACATTTATACCACACATAAACACTTTTTTTTCTTATAGCTCATCGTAGGCTTTCGTAACCATTTCATACAATTTGTTAAACTTTGTTTGATTTGTTTCGACAACCGAAAATCGCCAAGCTCTTAAAAACACGTTCAACTTTAATACAGCTGAAAATTTCATCATATACTCCAGGAATATGTATACTAAAGAAAATTTGACGATCGGACTCTCCGAAAACATGGAATTTTAAAATTCCAGTTATTTACTGAACCTACCTCGTATTGCCGAGATATGACGTGAAAAATCCATTCTTGAAAATGTCAAACTGATTGATAAAATGTGCATGTAGACTTTTTTTCCACTAACGACTTTTCAAAATAATATGTACATTTATTGGAGTCATAACATTTGGTAGTAATTTTCTTAACTACAAACATCGATACGCAATTTGGAAATTGCTCCTAACAAATTAGTACTTGAAAACTAATCTAAACGAGTATGTTTATTTTGGAATCAATTAAGTAAATTTATGTTGCTTCCATAATGTGATGAGTTATAAATGGATGAGCGTCATTAGCGTTCTGATTATATTTTTTAATGGATGTTCGTCAGAAAAAAAATTGAAAAATTGTTCCAGCAAAAAGATTACGTTACCGGGAAATTATAAAATTTGCGTTGCATGTTATACGATTGTGAAGGAGACGGTTACCAAGTTATCAATTACAACATTATTATAATAAAATGAAGACGTTTTTCAAGGCTATATTCTTTTCTAATTGGCTGAACAATACTTGCATTACTGATGAAACCAAATTACATATTATTTCTATTGATTGGTCTTGATTCTTTGAAGCTTCAAAGATCAATACTCCTTTTGAACTTCAAAGAGGCTGTATACATTTGACATGTATGTTATATTCAAAGAAAAATAATAATTTTTGGTTTGAAAATCAGTTGAGTTGAACTTTCCCAATTATACCTTTGAATAGGTCATAAAAAAGTTTGAGTAAAAGTAAGACTCCACTACTTATGTTTCACAGATTTCCTTGAAATTTCTGGTTCAATATACTTAATTCTACATTGAGTTGGTTTTCATTCATTCAGTCTTCCACACTGGTCTTTGAACTCGATTATTCAGGTGAAGATTCATCAACACAACAAATTGATAGTTCTATGAAATTATAATTCTGTGATATTTTCTCTGGCGAACCTTATTCAAAATTCAGAATTATATGTATGAATAGCAACAATATGTATCAAAAATGTACCTACATCTTTGTTTGCAAATGGTCTAATCATAATTAACTTCAATCCCATTTCAACCCTTCAAATGTCATATTCTCCTTCCTTTCAACTGAAGTATTAGTCATCCGAAACATTAACAAAGTCTAGTTGGAATATTGCGGGAAGAACCACCGTACTTGTTAATAACCCAAGGGAAATTTGGTTGATTAGACGAATTAAATTCAATTATCTCACTTCCGGCAATTATGTCATTTGTCTTAGCTTCATTAGTCTTCGGTAAACTTTATCATGGAAAAGATTAGGAGGGCAGTTACCTTCCAAGAGATAATGGGGTACGTTAACTACTATGATATATCTTCGTTAACGTACGAACGCAGTTAGCTACGTGCTCGTTTGCGATGAAGTCTAGGAAGTGGATTTCCGTTTGTCCCATTGAAAAAATAAAACTAATTGAAAATCATATCAATTTTGTACAGCTCATCGACGATGAATAATTTTTTCCTTCAGATCACCTGCATGTT